GGATGCTTAATGATATTTACCAATCTTATTTTACTTTTGTTCCTTATTGTAAATGAAAGAAGACATTTACCTTTTCTGTTACCTTAAGGCTTGTATTTTGTCAGGAAGGATTATTACCAGGAAGGGAACCATGTGTACAGCGAACTGAAGGTGGCAGAGGCATTCCGAAGGGCTCTCCGAACATGGGCCGAATGGGTCGACATCAACATTGACCCCAACAGAACCAAACTCTTTTTTCGAGGTTATTCGGCATCACACTTCCGGTGAGTATGATACTTAAAAGACTCTCTCAATGCAGGCTGTACAATCCAAATTTCAAGCATCTAAAGTATCCAATTTATGTTTGTTTCATGATTTATATCTCAAATCATCAAACATCAGAAAAATGGAGAATATGGTACTTTAGACTGCTTACGGCCAATTCCTCATTCCAGGAGGAAAACAACGCAACAACCCTCTGAATCTGATTCGTATCAATGATGTTTCAAACCATGATCTGAATTGATTGTTCAATGAAGACCTGTATTTGTCTATGAGGTGCAGCAAATGCATGGAGGGATCATGCAGACACACTGATCCCTATAGGGTTGTCCTCGCCTGGTCATATAGCTTAACCAACGTTACCAACTCCAAATATGGGTGATGGACAGTGGAGATCAGCATGTCCGTGATTCGTGCATGCTCGCAATGGTGCATGCCAAATACCGTCCCATTCTATAATTTTCTTAGGGGCATATACAGACTAATCCCACAAGAGTAAAAAACTTTTTGGCTTTTAATAGAATTCCCATGAAAATTAAGGACAAGTACGCTGTAAATCTGTGTGCGATGTTGTGGTATCTCCGCAATCTGCTCAATTGATGTACAAAAGTAGCATACACCAATGGTGTATTCTATAGTAGGTAAATAAACATACCTTCAAAATGGTCATGAAATGCATGTTGAATAGCTAAAAGTGTAAAGTTGTCGTGAACCAAACTCAAATTCAAAGTTTCAATCCCTTTCAAGACAAAATAAGTTCCAAGTTTAGTCTTAATTTATGTTTTCTTCATTTTAGGGGAGGGAGGTGGAATTCAGGTGGAAGCTGCAGAAATGAAACTGTGCCAATAAGCAATGAGTCCCACCTGATGCCATACCCTGCAAAGATGAGCATCCTCGAATCGGTGCTTTCAAGCATGCAGACTAAGGTTTTATACCTTAACATCACAAGGATGACAGACTACAGGAAAGATGGCCACCCCTCTGTTTTCAGGAACCCAATAACAGGGAATCAGCAGTTCACAAATAAGGCTCAAGATTGCAGTCATTGGTGCCTCCCAGGGGTTCCGGATGCTTGGAATGAGCTCCTCTATGCCACCCTACTGATTTCAGGCAGGGGCACTTGGGGGAAAAAGAAGAATCAACATTGAGGCTCTCTCTCTCATGCAGCTCCATCTCACTGACTCTATTATGCAGCACATTTAGTTCCATCTCTCTCTCTCTCTCTCTCTCTCTCTCTCTCTCTCTCATTCATGCAGCTCCATTTCATTGACTCTCTCTAACATGCAGCACATTTAGTTGCAGCTCTCTCTCATATGCAACAGTGCAGCTCTAGTTTGTTGCAGCTTACACACCCCTGCAACTGCATTTGACTGTAGCTTTGTCTCTCCAGGCTTAGGGAGACAACAATCAATATTGTAGTTCACCCCCTCCTTCATGCAAACAACTCTTTGCTCTCTTCTCTCTCTCTCTCTCTCTCTCTCCACACACACACACACACACATTACTTCACCCCCCTGCAAACAACTCTTAGCTGTGTCTCTCTCTTCCCCCCGGCCCTTTCTTCTTCTGAAAATTCATTTTGTATACCTTGTGCATAAATACATTGTTACATTTTTCCTCAATACTCCATTGTAAATCATCAGCGCAATGTTTTACCATACATTAAAAGAAAATAACAAAATGAATGATCCAGAATATGTCACAGTTTTGTTTCTTCCTAATCACATTTGTTGCAAGTCCAGGAAATTTTTCCTTCTTATTTGAGATCAGATTGTGTGTTAGACAAAAGCATCAAATATTTTTTGCACACTTTCATCAAAGTCAAATAGCATATGTAAAAGAATAATCCCAAAGATTTAGGAAAACAAACAATCCAATGAAAAATAATAGAAAAATAACAATGTGTTAGCACTAACCAAGAAACCGACCTACATGTTCAGCAACAGTTTGGGCGAGGGCATCTACTTCTTGTTGGGTGGATGCCTCTGCATACACGCGTACAACATCTTCTGTGCCAGAGGGCCGAACAAATGCTCGGCCTCGAGAATACTTGGCTGCATCAAAAATTGAACTTGAAAATAGTGAAGAGAGGGAATTACCCAAGAAATTACATAAAGAATGCATCCCTAGTTACATACTACTTGCTCTCTCTCTCTCTCTCTCTCTCTCTCTCTCTCTCACACACACACACACACACACACACACAC